GGAAGGAAGGATGAGGAAATCAGTGCAGAAAAATCAAGAAACTGTCCAGGCCACTTAGCTTGTATATAAAGGCAGTGGACCCAAAACTAGCTTCATGCAATCCACATGCATACCCCACCCACAAAAGCATTTAAAGGCAAAAGAGGTGTTGTACAGAGAGCACTGCTCTGTGCGTGTGTGTTCTCACACGATACGGGGGTCATGTAGACCCCCTTTCCTTCCTCTTCCACTCAGGAGTGTCGGGCTCTGCACTCAAGTCCTAGGAATGAAATGACAGGAAGGTCGAGGGCCGACTGCAGCTCATGCCCTGGAATCAACACCTCTGAACAATGGAACGAAGAACTGCCCAGTTCTGCGCCTCCCTCACGACAGGCCGGACACGGGCCACCGTGACTCAGGAGGTTTCTCGGGTGGAGTTCCAGAAGTGGCAGCCAGACCTTTCCTCCTAGTCTGTGTCAGTCAAGAAATGGCAGAGGCCTGTACAACATCAGAGAGAGATGCACGTCTCCATCGGCAGACACGGCTGCCAGAAGAATGAATACGGGCGTCCTGGAGGAAATGCATCCAGAGTGCTCCTTAGAGGCAAGGACAGTGGGACGTAAGCTCACAGACTTTGGGCACATTGTGAGGAGGGCCCAGTCCTCGGAAAGGGGCTCCATGCTGAGAAAGGTGGAGGGTCAGTGAGGGAAGACCCTCAACAGGAGGGACACAGAGGCTGTAACAGTGGCTCGGGTACCTCAGATGGTGAGGATGTCTCACGCCAGGGCGCGGTTCAGCTCCACTGTCCACAGGGTCCCTGTAAGTTCTAGTCAAGTCGATGGCACCTCACAACACTGCTGGACGGGTACCCTGGTGTGCAGCAGGATGTGTAACCAAAACGGGCAGTTCAAATGCACTGCTTGCTCTGCAGAGACACCAGCAGTCTTCTCCCATCAAACGTGCAGCGCGGGAAACCAGCTGGGGGTGGCTAAGAGCTAGGGCTGCCTGAGCAGCAGGGGGTCTCACTGAGAGGTGAAGCTTCATGGGAGGTGTCCTCCCCAAGAATCGAACCTGGGTTTCCCGCATGCAGGGGGGAAATCCTACCCCTGAGCCACATCCCGCCTTGCATGTCCTCTACATGTGTTTAATCTTATGAACCTGATAAGGTAGGTTTGTTACCATCTCCATTCTACAGATAACTGAGGTCTCCAGGGAGTAACGTGGTTAGCAGCACACAGCTATGGGCTAGAATTTGAACCCAGGAAGTCTGATCCTCTATCATTAACCTCTAGAGGTGCAGGTTTCAAGAAACAATCACAAAATTTCAAAGCCAAAGTCAGAAGCCACTGGGAGCATTGCATAAACAGGCCTCTGATTTTCATGTACTTAAGAACAAGAAAGAACTTGGCATAGAAACAATGAGGCAACAGCAAGCCCAAGGATAAGGCCAAGGACAAATGTGGCTCCCCTGATTCCCAGATAAAGGGGCCCTCAGCGCCCTGGTGTCTGCCAGCATTCCACTCTGCCTACGTGCTTGTTAAACTCCAGGGAGCAAGGGCACCTGAGGAAGTGGGCTCGAGAGGCTCCAAGTGACAAGGGCTCTGCATTTAGCTCCTGAACAGCGAGGTGACCTCAGCCCCAAAGCCCACTTTCCTCTGGAAAGCCAGAAATTCCTTCCAGCGGTATCTGCAGCTTAGAAAACATCTGTTCGGGCGAGAGCTGGGCAGGGAGAAAAGTGCAACAATGAATGAATGGAAATCCAAAATCTCTGTAAATGTTCATTAAAATGAATAAAATAAAATTAAAAAAAAAGAAAGTATCTGTTGCTTTCTACAAAGATGGAGCAAAAGCGAAGAAGGAAGCCCCTGCCTCTCCCAAGACTACAACCAAAGCAAAGGCATTAAAGGCCAAGAAGGCGTCCTGAAGGGCACCCACAGCCAAAAAAAAAGATCCTCATGTCACCCACCTTCCGGCAGCCTAAGATGCTGGGACTCTGAAGGCCGCCCAGATACCCCCAGAAGAGCGCCCCCAGGGGAAACAAGCATGACCACTATGCCATCATCAAGTTTCCCCTGACCACTGAGTCAGCTATGAAGAAGATAGAAGATAACAACACACTTGTGTTCATTGTGGATGTCAAGGCCAATAAGCACCAAATTAAACAAGCTGTAAAGAAGCTCTATGACAATGATGTGGCCAAGGCCAACACTTTGATTAGGCCTGATGGAGAGAAGGCCTATGTTCAGCTTGCTCCTGACTATGATGCTTTGGATGTTGCCAACAAAACTGGGATCATCTAAACTGAGTCCAGCTGACTAACTCTAAATACAAATTTTTCTCACCATAAAAAAACACACCAAAACCATCTGATTCAGGTATGCTTCTCTCCCATCAAGAGCTTCTTTGAAACTGTTAAATACTTGTTTTTCAGATTCCCAGCAAGGATCTCTGTTCCCTGGGCAGCAGTGTGACTGAACCTCACCTGTGCACAGGCCCAGGTTAGGGGTGGGCCGGGGGTCCTGAATCCTCATCTGGTTTAGGGGCAGTGCAGGGTGTTTCTGAGTCCTGACCTGGGTCAAAGGCAAGGAGGGGGTTCCAGAATCCTGAGGGGGGGAGTCAGGAGTGGGTCCTGGGGTTCCTGAGCCCTGACCTGGGTTAGGTGTGGGGCCGGGGTTCCTGAGTCCTGACCCCACCGAATCTCCAGTGGAGCTGGTTCTGAACCAGGTTTTCCCACCTAAGGCGGCCCCACACTGGAAACCTTCACTTGAAACTTCAGGAGAAATAAAGCCAGTATCACAGGCAGCAGTGGGGAGCAGGCAGGCAGGCTTAAACAGAGTTCAGTTCTTTCCAAATGGCCTCCACTGATCACTCCCCCAAGTTTACCTCAAAATAGTCCTTTCAAAACAGCCACCAGATCTTATCAAAGCACCAGCTTCTTTTAACCTAAACCGCTACCCCCCATAAAAAACTCAACATGGTCACTGCACTCACTGTTTGGCAAAGTGGGCCCAGATGGTGTGCAGAATCCCACCTCCCAGAAGTAAACGGCTATATTTTCCTCTGACGGAGCAAAAGAGGGTTCAAACCACTGACATCTTGGTCAGCTGCCGAGCACGTAACCACTCCTCGCTTCTCGTTCTCATTCCAGGGCCAGCAGTGTCAGGAACACAGGTCCCCTCTGCTCCCTTGCTGTGGCTCCGGTCATCTGAACCCCTGTGAGATCCTGCCTAAGTGGACAGATGGCTCCCTGAGCAGCATCCTCGGAAGACAACCTGGGATGGGGTCGTGAGGCCCGTGCAGTCCCGGCCCTGGCTCTTCCTCACCGAGCAGGCAAAGAATTCTGTGCGCTCCTGTTTTTCATCTCTGCTGCTCTCAGGATTTCATTTTGAAGATGACTTGGAGGAAGGACTGACAAGAAAAGGGGACAGAAGTGACACCCACCTCAGGTCTGTGACCCCAGTCCTACACTGAGGACTTTAAATTAAAAAGAGCACACAGCCAGGCCCCTCAGGCCATGCTCAGATGAAAACCTTCTCCAGAGAAGGCTATGCAACTGGGTGACCTCAACACCAAAAGGCTATTCTCCACACAAACCTCTACCTTCTGTTTTTCTCTATTCACTGCAGCGTTTATGTATAAAAAAGGAAACCGTTTGTACATCACTCAGCGGTAAGAACTTAGACCTCAAATGAGAAAATCAAGCACATACCAATATTTGGGGCCTTTGGAGTGGACACCATCAGTCATCACATCGTCAGCTACACACAGGGACCCTGGGTGAGTCTGAGAAGATGGGGGTACCCAGCCTGCTCTAGAGGCTGATGGAATCCACTCGGGGCAGGCCCCCAGAACCCATCCAGAGCAGGTCCCCAGAATCTACCCAGGGCAAGCTCCCAGAATCTACCCGGGGCAAGCCCCCATAATCTACCCGGGGCAAACCCCCAGAATCTACCCGGGCAAGCCCCCAGAACCCACCCAGAGCAGGCCCCAGAATCTACCCAGGGCAAGCTCCCAGAATCTACCCGGGGCAAGCCCCCATAATCTACCTGGGGCAAACCCCCAGAATCTACCCGGGCAAGCCCCCAGAACCCACCCAGAGCAGGTCCCCAGAATCTACCCAGGGCAAGCTCCCAGAATCTACCTGGGGCAAGCCCCCAGAATCTACCCGGGGCAAACCCCCAGAATCTACCCGGGCAAGCCCCCAGAACCCACCCAGAGCAGGCCCCAGAACCTACCTGGGGCAAGCCCCCAGAATCTACTTGACTTTAAAATTCCCTCAGACAGTTCTGGGTGGCTCAAGCTGAGAATTATTAACATTGACAAGAACTAAACAACATGCTCACCATCTAACACACCAACTGTGTGTCGACACCACCCAGAAAAGACAACGCTGCCTTCACAGGCAACAACACACACAGGAATGCTGACGAAGAGAGCCAGCACAGGTGTGACAACTGCCCCCGCGGCCTCTGCCCAGACAGAGCACAGTGACGGACGCCTGCCCCAGGCAAGGACTGTCAGCCTGAGGTGAGAGCTGCCTGCTCAGGTGAGGGCTGTCCCTCCAAGTGAGTGCTGCCCACCCAGGCGAAGGCTACCTGTTCCAGACGAGGGCTGCCCACTCCAGGCGAGAGCTGCCTTCACAGACAAAGGCTGACCACTCCAGACGAGGGTTGCCCCAGAGAGCAGAGCCCACCGCCCTCCAACCTTCCCCGCCAGAATGAACGAAGCTGTGTACCTTCCTCAGAGCCACGTCTGCATGGATGGAAAGGCACTCACCCGCGTTCACCCAGCAGACCAGCCAGATGGGACAAAAGCCATCCCGACCTCCACTGAGTCCTTTCATTCACTTTCAAGAAGCCTACTGACTCACCAGGCTTGCGATTAAAGTCATGCTTTTAAAAAGCAAGTAGGCAAGCAGGTGCACAAGTGCTATAAGGCGACACTTGGACAGACATGCGATAAAACACTTCTCCTGTCTTCACGAGAGTTAGGAGCCCACTCGTGGAGGGGTGCCAGCTTACCGCGGAATTTTTTGGGAGGATTGTTGAGGTCCCCGGCTTCGGGCTGGACAACACAGCGGTCATCCACAAGGCTGCAAAGAAGACAAGACAAACATTACAATGAGTGGGGTCCACACAGCCCCACTCACTAAGCCAAGTGCAAGGTTTTCTTCTTGCACTGAACCTGACCTGGAACCCTCTGACCAGGGGCCGGTGGCACAAGCTCCTCTGACAGACACATTAAGTCTCTGCTCCACATCCCGCATCCACGATGGGTCTGTGCACAGCACACCGGACTGCCCAGGTCCAGGCGCAGCAGGCTTCCTGCATGGACCTCACAGTGGCTGAACCACCCGTGTGCAGCTGGCACTGTGTGTGATCTGACCTGAGGACAACTGGGCCCTGCCTGGGAGCACAAGTTCAGTCGAGGACACAGGAGGGCGGCCTGGGCCTTGGGTGGGAGCACAAAGCCAGCAGAGGAGATAGGAGGGTGGCCTGGGCTCTGCCTGGGAGCGCAAGGCCAGCAAGGAGACAGGAGGGCGGCCTCGTAAGGAGGCTCCAACCTGAAGAAGGCAGAGGGAGCGAGAACAAAGCAACCAGAAACCAGCCGTGCCTGCAGTCACAAGCCATCAAGGACTTTGGAAAATGCCGTTTCAGGCAGGGAGAGCTGGAACGCTCCATCCGTAACACCTTGTTCTTCAGGACGACAGGCCTGAGTGGGGCCTGGGTACACACTGGACAGGCAGCAGGGAGCAAGCTCTCAACAACAGTGCCATCAGGAGGCGCTGACCCCCTCAAGGACAAGGTGCATGGAGAAGCCGCGGCCTTTCTAGAGTGCAGCTCCTGCCAGACTCAGCCAAGCCACCCCTGACCTCCTGGAGTCAGCCACCATGGGTTCCCACTCTGTTTCCATCTGCGCATGGGGTCCCTACCTCCTTTGGTGAACAAGAACACGGGGGGAGGGGGTGGAAGTCGAATTGGTGATGGATGGGAGCCATTTTTACCTTAATGTTGTAAGGACTCTGTGTGGCACAGAAGTCCAAGTTACAGAACTCTGTGTCCCTTCTAAGTTTCACACAAACACAGCAAGTTCAGCCAGAGAAGGTTCTGCTTGAACGAAGGCAGAGAAGCCGCGAAGCAGCGCTGACCTTTGCTTACGTTAAAGGCCATCGTCCCCTGAGAGAGAACTTTCACAGAGCTGTGAAGCTCCTCCAAGTTCTCGAAATATTCACCTTCAAAGTGGACTCCACAGATTTAGCACTCTTCTTTATATGTGAGGGTAGAGGGAGTTTTCATAAATTCTGAATTAATAAGTTATAATTAATGAGGCTTCACTTTTTCAGAACTGACAGAAAACAATGTTTTTTTTGTGTGAGAGGTTAAACTTAGCACAGAATTTGGTATTCACAATTTCAGCCGCCCCTGTAGAAGCCAAGTAAAAGTGGTGACAATCATATCTTGGAAAATCAACGTTTTTTAGGTGGTGGAATGATGGCTGAACAAATGCTGCCCCATTTGACGCTGAGCGCTTACCCCAAGGTGCTGATGAACCCATTCGTGGACCCCTCTGCGTAGAGGGAACAGATGTCCCCAATGTGCAGGAAACTAGACATCTTGTCAGACATTTCGTCCTGGAGAATCCTAGAAAAAGTGAAACACACAGCATTGTTAGAAGAAACGAAATACTCAGAGTAAAAGGGGGGGAAGCCCCCAAGAGTTGGCTTAGCTTGCTTTTCCAAAGCATTCTACTTAAAAGTCACATTTAAATTCACATTTGACAGGCAGGCAATTTAAACGAGCCAAGTAAGGACATATGCAACGTTTTCTTCTACAAATTAATTAATTTCAGGATACTGCAACCAAAATAATGCCAATTTCAAACACAGCTATGCCTGAGTCATATCCTACAAATCACAAATCAAGGACCCTCAATTACAAATAGTGAATAAAAAATCAAACAGGAGATCGGCCAAGAATTGTGCAGCGACTAAGGAGCTGGAGCGTCTGACTTATGAAACATTAACATATTCCATTTGCCTCAGGGAGTTATGTTAAGTGAGGAGGAAACACCTGGTGTGAAGCAGGTCTAGAAAAGATGGAGGCTGGGCCAAGGAGCCGAAGCAGCAAAATAATAAGAGGAAACTTGACAACAAACAGTACAGAGCCATGACAGCCTTCAGCCATCCACCAACTGTCAGAAGCACTACGCCCATGTGCCATCTCAATGTCTTTTTCTCATCCTTTGCATAAAAACAAAACCCCTTCTAGACGGAGAATGGAACTTGGACAGCCCACGGTGTGAGGGGCAACTCCTCACAGTGCCGGTAAGGGAAGGCTTGGGTGGGTCAAGCACTCTGGCCACAAATACAGGCAGTCTGTGGCCGTCCTCGAAAACACTCTGAAGTTTTAGGAAATCTTGACAGCACTGAAATCACTGAATGAACTCACACACACAAACGTCAACAAAAACACTGACATGACTCACAGAGACAGCTTTCATTGGGGCAATAAATACTGAGCAATAAGAACCATGATACAAATGCTACAAAGACTTTTAGAAAACAAAGTCAGTCGTGTGGGAAGACATGCGGCTGGTTACACTGCAGCTAACGCTGCGTCCGCCTCGGGCGCCTGGTATCCAGATGCAGGAGCAGCCAAGGTCCTCCTCCCCAGCCCTCCAGCTGCCCTCAGCCACAGAGGCCCACAGGCAGACCACTGACTGCTCGGTGCGTGATTTTTCTGGAAGGAAATGTTAACTTCTTACTCTCCAGGAGGTGAGATTCCGGAGAACTGGTTTTCCTACCTTCTTGCTAACCAACCAGGTAAGACAATTGAAGGAGTAACTTCCTCTGCATTTTATATCCCCCTGAAAGCAGAGATGAGGGTGCACACCACTTTTAATGACCTCAGCTGGGCAACTGGCCAGGGGTGTGGATTTAAAAACACCAAAAGGTGTGGGGAGGACAGATGCTGCCCGGAAGCCTCAGGCAGTAATTTCCCTCACAAAGGACGGGGCAGTGTGCATTGGAGGCCTCTCCTAACCTATGGCTAGTCAGAGGAGGGCCACTTGAAATTCTCAGTGATCTCCTGGAAAGAAAACCAAAGGTCCAGAGCAGGAAAGCCAGGAGTGACTGGTCTCTGAGCACCTCTGGGAGACTTCCTGTCGCGGAGAAGCCAGCGGGAGAGCTGCCTCTTTATCTGATCCTGGAACGTTTGTGCCTGCGAGCTGCTCCCAGCTGTGTCCAGACCTCCCCGTCACTCACAAAAGCTGGAGACCACCGGAGCCAGCCCACCCTGACCCTGAGCTGCACAGCCTGGTCCTTCCAATAGTGGACGCCCAGGACCCTGCCCCAAGTCACTGGCTGAGCAGGTCAGCTGACAGACAAGACCCTGGGGTGAAAGGCCCCCAGGGCTCTGTCCTCCTCAGTGAGCATCAGCTGTGACCATCAGTCCCCCAGCCACCCCACTTACACGACTGCCTTCACTCCTCATCTGTAAAATGGGGAGAATACTTCAGTGGGCTGTTGTCAGGATTAAAGAAAAGTATGTGCACTGGTGATGTGCAAACTGTTACTGCTCAACAAAATCTATTTCCATTATTTCTTAACAAGAGATGAAGTCAAATTCTGGATGATTCTAAGGCTTCAGAATTTAGACTTAATAAGGGAAAAGATCCCAGGAGCAACACAGCAATGAGTGTGTACACGAGCCCAGAGAACCCCACTTTACCCTCGGGAAGACAGCTGCCCTATGGCCCTAAGAGAGAAAGGCTGCATTCTGGGTCCTCCAGACACCCCAGATCACAGGCAGGAGTGGAAGGGGACCCCCAAAGCACCAATTCAAGTTCTTGCCTGGAGATGGAAACCTCACCCACTTCCTACAGCGGATGGTCTCAGCTTCCCCCACCACATGGGGGTGCAGCTCCGTCCATGGCAGCACCTCTACCAGAGTGTTCTCCCCCCCGCCCACAGAAGAACAAGCACTCCCCAGAACCTGGGCTTCAGTTCTACTCCTTGGCGCACACACATCCAAGTACAAGAACGCCAGTCACCCTGCTTCCCCTTACGATCTGCTTCTTTTTACAAACATGACCACCTCACCCTAATCCTGAATGGCCCTGAAGTGGGCAGCAGCAGAGTCTCCAGAGTCACACTGCCCATGTTCAAACGCCAGCTCTGCCACATACTCATCATGGGCTCCGTAAGGTCCCTAGGCCTTGCTTTCCCATCTGTAAAATGGGCGAAGAGACCCTCCCTCATCAAGCAGTCTCATGGTCTGGTGAGATGGTGACTATAAAGTCTGATGTGAAGGAAGCAGACCAGCCACATAAACTATCACACCACCACTGCCACCCCTCACTCAGGCCAGCCAAAGCCCCTGTGAGGACAGGGATTTCCTGGAAAGTTTGGCCAGCCAGAGGAAGGCGGGCAGTGACCTCTGTACCACAGCCAGGCGATGGCAGCTCCCCTTCATTGTCTACTGAAAACGTTCCCTGAGCAATGCATGAGAAAGCATCTACTCTGCTTTAAAAAGGTGGAGGCAGGACCCAGGGAGTGCCACCCGGCCCCCAGGACCCTGGGGTGTGCTGTCCAGCCCTCAGGGAGAGCCGCCTTGTGTATATGAGGAATTTTACCTAAGCCACTTTCCTCCACCTCCTTCGCCAGTATATCTCTAACACCTCCAAAGCCCTTCTCTTCGTTAACTCACGAGTTTGTTCTCTCTAGGTTTGCTCCCTTTCCTATAGGTAACCAGAACACTGAGTCTTGCTCCAGACCTGAACCCTGAGTCCAGTTCCAGAGACAAAAGGGAAACATAACTGCCAGCCAGAGAAGTGATGGAGGATGGAGTCTCAGGGCTCAGCCAGCCCATCCCCACTGGACCCACCTTGGCAAATACTTTGCAGTGCAGAAGGCAGAAAACATCAGGAAAATATCTTCTAACTGAACAAGGCATGCAGCTTCAACCAAGGACCACCAATAAAGTGTTAAACTGGGCTCCCCTTCCCTCTTCACCTCAATGCCCCTGTTCAGCATGAAGAAGCCAGAGAGTCTGTGCCCCATTCCCAAATGAGAAACCCACAAGGGAATAAAACAATTTCTTTGTTAAAAAAAAATCAAACAAAAAAACAAAACACCATGGGATCCCCATGGGATCTCTCTCATATCCTTCACCCACTCCCTGCACCCACAATATTCTGCAGCCTTGTGATTTCATCCCTGCCCATCCTCACTCTTCTGCCCCCAACACTTGTATCCCCAAACATGTTTTTTACAATTAAAAAAAAAAAGGGGGGGTGGTGGAGGTATAATCCAGAGACTGCAGGGGTGGAACCCACAGGTGGTGATCTTCAGACATGGGCCCCGATGTTTTGCTCTTTGGCTCCCAGATCCCATTTACACTGAGTGAATCCTGACTCCTGGTGACCCCACATGTGTCATAGCAGGGCTGTCCCCACGGAGTCAGTCCTCGGTGGTGACCCCTGGTGTCCCACGCACATCAGAGCAGGGCCGACCCCGTGGAGTCAGGTCTTGGTGGTGACCCCGTGTCCCACGCATCAGAGCAGGGCTGTCCTCACAGGGTTCAGTCTTGTTGGCTGGCTGTTCAAAAGTCAATTACCAGGCCTGTCTTCTAAGACATCCCTGGGCAGACTCAACCCCCAACCTCTGTTGTTGTATGTGTGCCATTGAGTAGATGCTGACAGTGACCTCCAGCCCGGGAAAAGCCATGCCATAGGCTCTCCACGGTGGTAAGTCGTTACAGGAGCTTCTCCATGGAGCAGCTGCTGAGCTCAAACTGCCCACCTTCTGGTTAGGAACAGAACACATGGCCACGGCACCACCAGGCTCCTTCTGCATTCAGGAGGCCACTTTAACCAGCGTTCCACCCAGGGATTCCCTGTTGGCTCCAGTGTCCTCTACATGGCAGGACTATCCAGAAGGATCTGACGGTCCACAGACATGGGAAATGGGACCTGTTCCCAGGGCCACAGCAGCCTCCGCTGGCCAGCCTGAGTCTCACCGGAGGATCTCCATCTTCCCGATGGCCTTATCCTGACCATAGTCCTGTTGTCCACATTGCTACCAGGCCTTGGACATTCCCACCCCCACCTCCTTGGCCCTGGTAAAGCTGGTTCACTCTTTACCCACTAGAATGGTCACCAATCCCACCAAGAACCCCCATTGATGAGGTCACCCCTACTCTGCTCTAAATTCACATGCAGTCCCTGAGTCCGGCCTGAAGTCCCAAAGGCCCACCCCTGAGTTCCCAGGACCCTGGCCGGACTCTGCCTTGCTCCCAGTAACATCCCAGCCCCACCACCTGGCACACAGTCCATGCTCAGTCATCACTGCAGAGGCTAGTGACGTCTGACCAAGCATGTAATCCTGATCTTCATCTTCAATGAACCTCTGAAATGCCCTGATTCCTGTGATGCCCTCAGCCCCAACCTCCAGCCCACATATCTACAAGTCCCACTTCTCAGCTGGCTTCCACAGTCTTTCCTCCCATCTTTCTAAATCCATCTTCCCTCCCTCCCCCAATTCCACACCAACCAGCACAGTGTTTCAGAGAACACCTTCCTCCCACCTTCCAAATTCCCTCAGGGACACTTCTCCAGCTGGCCCAT